ATTTCATGGAAGAATTCCAACTTCCACCTTTTGACCTGAGCGTTGTAGCTTTAAAGCGAGAAATTACGATAAAATTTCTGTGCAGCATGGAAGAACGAGCAGCACTTCAAGCAGTAGCTAGAGCCCAAAGGAATCGAGATGTGGCCTTTTTGTGACTAAAGGTGCGCTCGTTGCAGCGCCCTGGGGCTGCCAATCCTTTCTGAGCTCCGCCTCCGCCTGTGCTCCGCCCCTCAGCAGATCGCTGTTCGATTATCATTCTGATAAGGTATGCCACTTCGAGCGCGTATCCAATTTTTTTCTCATGGAATGCTATATCAATCAAGGTATGATCTCTGGTGGTATGATGGCAGCTATGGTTTAACGAGTGCCGACGACCTCTTAGTTGGTTGCCAACTCGTCCATTATCGGAGGTCAACGGGCAGAGGAAGTGGTCCCATTTTGCGCGTTTTTGACGGATTTCTTTGCTTTTTTCGCTACTAGGGCATTATTCAGCATCTTCACTTCCACTATGAGCACAACAGAATCCTATCGCAATCTCTCGCTTTAAAGAAACCCTAATGAATTCATGTTGTCATTCATTACTTCGCCAGCACAGCTGCACATTTATTTTCCTCCTTGAAAGCGTCCTCCATGAAAATCGCATAGTTCTACATTCGCAGTCCAACTACCTCAACGTCAGCGACACTAAAGATAGGAGCCGCTACAAATAGCAACAGATGATAATTTCCACTGAAAGCACATCCGCCAAGGAAACAAGTTAAGATCATTGCGTTCGACCACAAACGCAGTTGTCGCAAAAATCCATTCATTGATCAAGAAGCCAGGAACCCCTTAAAAACCCCTTGAAATCGCTGATCGTTTGGGCCCAGCATGTGCTCCGCCTCTACGTTTCCTCTAATACGCAGTAGTACGGTATAAAGCTATCCCTGTCCTTCCTGCCCTAACCTACGCCTCAGAGACTTGGACTCTGCGCAGGCAGGACGAGCATGCGGTCAGCGTTATCCAACGCGCTGTCGAGAGGACGATGCTAGGAGTAACCCTATACACGCAAGTGCAGAGGGGAATCCGGAGTGCCGAACTACGCCAACGATCGAAGATCAGGGACGCTGCCGTTTTCGTCAAACGAACACCTGGACGACCGCCGGCCCGATGGTCAGACTTCTTCACGAAAGCTCTGAACGAAAGAAATGAACGGCTTCGTGTCCCTCGAGCAAGGAGGATCCACTGGACCACTCTAGCACGCGACAGGGACGAATGGAGACGTTGCTGGCGCCCGCTCGAGCAAATCGACGATCAACGGACGACGGGGATACAGGTGATACAGGTGATACGGTAAAAAGCGGTAAAGAGGGATTCCCGATGGAGTAAGACGCCAACAACACCTATGTGGTCTGCTCGCAATGTGATTTTGAAGGGCTCCAACATCTTTAACTATTTCTTCATGGACTAAACCACCATGCAATTTTTCTAAGCAAAATACCACTTCTATCCACTCTCGGAGAGTTCTTTGTTTGTGAGTTTCTTTTTTTTGAATTGCCTTTTTGCCTTCAGCCCTCAAATAGGAGCGCTAGTTTCGACTACCGTAGCGCGTGCTTTCTGTCTGTGTCGAAAAACAAAGCCCGGAGGAGGAGAAGTATGAACATTCTCAGAACTCCAATTCTCAGAGTTGACATTTCATAGAGATTTTATGAATGAAACATAAGGTTTACTTCTATGGGAAATCACCTATAAATAATGAGGCCCCAGTTTTCCATAGCACCTAGCGAGAAATCAGGAACAGCAACCATATCTGAAAATGAAAAGTTCATAAAATTGGAAAACTGAAAGTGCACGGAAGACCCAATTCTTCTCATTCATCACAAACGTTCATCAAATTCGAACACAAACCTTGCTTTTCGAGAGGAAATTTGATGTTTCGTATAACTTCGTATTTGATTCCAAGCATTGGACACCGGCTCCCAAGGCGTATTGTGTCATATTTTTCGCTTCTGGGCGTGACCATATTCGGAACTGAATGGGACAAGTTATATTTTCAGGTCAGCTTAGGCGTAGAATGAATGGCTGTCTCACTCGCACACACCACTTTCCGTTTTGCCTTCATTGAACTCGAATTCTGAAACAATAAGGGCCAACAGGTAAGAAGACATTGGTGGAGTAGTTTTGAATCTCGATACGATCCAACGCCCACTGGGGTCCCTGTAAAAAACGCAGAGTTTCAAAAATCATCGAAGAGCAAACCGGTTAATGTAAGTTAAGGAGTAAGGCACGTTGGTTTTCAACCTGATTCGAGATGCCGCTAGGACCAGCAAGAGCCTCCATACGGCTGTGACGCCGTTGGATTCGCGCATTGAAGAGCCATTTCTAAGTGTTACATACCACTGCACAAATGTGATGCGGAAATTAACATAAAAACCTATGGGAGTTTCAGCATTCTCCCAGCGGCTCGTTAGAGACAGAAATACTCAATTATAAACGGAATATGATCACCTACTTCGGTGTGGCCTTGCCAGCTGTGTTGGCAACAACATTGGTAATTCACCTAAAGGCACGGTCCGTGATTAGGCATGTACACCTGCTCGAGACCCGGCGTGGTAGACAGGCGAACAAGCGTTAATGGCGTGGTCCCTTATTGGGCTCAGGGTGCGCGACAGAGGCACTACTCGACCAGCAATCCAGACCTTGGTTCTCACGAGTCCCGCCTTCCGCTTGCTGGGCTGCTGCTTGGCCCGCCCCGAGGAAGAGTTGCGGCCTGTTGCGTCAGCCTTTAGCATTTGCCGTTAAAGCGATTGGCATGGAGCCAATAAAGCTAGCCGTTCGTGAATTTCGTTGTACACGCGTCCCTTCGCCATCTCAAAGTGGAGTATGACTGAAAGAAATGTGCTTGTTTGCGGCGTTAATCGTGAGTTTCTTCTGCCTTTCATTTTTTCTACAGCACACCCCGAATCCAGCTTCACTTGAACAACAGTCCCAGCAGGGTGGGCGTGGTCGGAAACGGCTGCAATCCCCTCGGCCGATTCCCACTTCGGAGCTGTTCAGCCCCTAGTCAAGAACGTAAGAAGTGTGACTGAACAAAAACTCACCTTGGAAAGCCGCTAGGGAGGGAGCTGAAGTGGGCGTGGTCGGAATCGGCCGAGGGGATTGCAGTCGTTTCCGACCACGCCCACCCTGCTGGGACTGTTGCTTTAAATACAAGGGTTGCCCACATTTGCTTTTTGGACATGTTAAAGCAATGGTACAGGGCATAGCTTACATGTGACTGCCAATGGTCAGGAGAAGAGCAGCCAGAATTCGACCGTAATAAAGTGTAAGGGAAAAATTTTGCCACGAAATGAATATCTCAAAGTTTAGCAAAAATATAAAGCAAAAATCAGCTGAGTTTCCACAGCGGGAATAGTTACCTTGTGGTTAGTGGTAGAAGTTTTTGATCGCAGTACTGATCTGGATAAGCTTTGTCAGGAGGCTTGGAGCCAACGTCTTACTCGACGATCCAATTATATGTATGCAAAGCGGACAAGGAATAAGTAAAGAAATTCAAAATTATTATGTCAACTTGCTTGTGAAGAAGCATTCGCCTTCGAGAACTCGGAAAATGAGCACTCATAAATTTTGGGCGGGCACAAAATCCGTTACCCTAAAATTTGGGTACCCCAAGGAGGCCCGTCGCGCGGCAAGAAGGCAAAGTCAGCGGACGAGTCGCGCGCGTACTATAGGGATTTCGCGTCAAGTTAAATAGAGTGTCCCATTGCACGTCCTACATCGCACATCACGCGCTGCAACTCGTCCGCCGACTCTGCCTTCTTGCCGCGCGACGGGCCTCCTGGGGGGTACCCCTAAAATTTGTTCAACAACACCTGCTGTACGAAGATTTTGTATTCGCCTCTTATTCTCAGTCAATTGTCAAACGAACTGCCGAAATGATGATCTACTCCACTGGATAATTTGTAGGCATTATACTGATGCTTAGATGGAAGTGTTTAGAATAGTGATAAGTGGCGTTGCTTACCACACACACACAGTCAGGGATCAAATGCTAGTCTTGCGCCGTTCAAGCCAACAAAGCTTTCCATGTCACAGGGTCGTTAATTTGGCACCAGACTCGTCTTGGAGGCTAGAAACACGTTAAGGAAACAAAAGCGATTTTCATATTAGCTGCCATCCCCTCAAGTTGTTGTATAGGCCAAATGACGCTCATAATGGCGGTACGGTTCAAAATGAAGTAGAATGTGTGGTAACCTCCCCTTCAAAAAGCGAGAAAGTGTCGGGTGCAGACCAAACACCACAACTGACGACGGCCTCCAAGTAAATCTGGTTAGAAGTTGTTCATAGTGATAGCTGATTTCTGGTAAATGATAGTTGTAATTAGTGACAATCGATAGAATACAACTGCAACAGGCTAATCATTTCATTGGCAGAAAACATTAACATTTTGTGAAGGCCGTCGTCACTTGTGGTGCATGGTCTGCACCCGACACTTTCTCGCTTTTTGAAGGGAGGGTACATCCCGAGAAGGGGATCAACCCCGAATACTTCATAGCTTTATCTGTAGTTATGATGCGAGCGTTGGTATCGTGGAGTTTAGCCAGTGATAAGCCACAACGAGGCGATAAAGCGACTCCTTAGACACGGCGATAAGGTGGGCCGCTGTTTCAGTGGTTATCCTATTTTGTCTAAATTTTACGATCAGAGGGTCGCTCGGAGAAAGGTTCACTTTTGCGGAAGCACATTCCTTGGACTGTCACCCTCTCCATCCACTCTCACGTCTCTGCGTGTGGTAAAATATTCGGCGTCTGAAGCACTGCTCTTTCAGACGCCGAATTTGACCACACGCAACCGACAGTGAAGGCTCAGGAGACAAGGTGATCCAATTTATACTAATCCTGTTATTTTCGGTGACGTCTTTTGTTGTGATCAATAGCTTGTTTTCATGTGTTGTACTGTTTCAGTGGACAAATATGTCAAGTTTGTCGAGCATTTGGCTGATAATTGAAGAGGGGAAACCAGTGAACTTTACTTATCCCTTATTTTACACTTGCTCATCTGCTCTGCATGAACTTCTCATCAAAAGTTTTTTAGCACTTTTCGCGTACGAAATCCAAAACATCTTATTTTAGAAAACATTTTTATGTTAGAGTACATCGATGACAGTTCCACTAACCGCTCTTCCTCCGTTTCAATGCCATTCGATATGGCTGTGGTACCATTCGGATGAATTACAGTTACGGCCCAATTCGCTTTAAAACTCGGTTCATCCAGGCATGGTACCATTCGGCGAGCATCTGTCGGCTCCATGTTAGTCACTGCAGCAATTCTAAAAGTGTGGCCTTCATTTTTATGGATATCCAAGAAGCCAATTTGGCCCAAAAAAATTGAACGGAATGCAATTAGATGAGAAAAGCAACTAATGAATGGACGCCAGTAATCTGGTCTAAACTGCCCGTTACCAGGTGATCATCAGCTCATGGTATTCTGGCGGTCCTAAGTTTGCAAAATGTCAGAAAACATGTATGACATCTGACCCCTCCTTCGATTCCTTACCACCAGGGAGTAAGTCAATGAGGAGTTAGCGCAAACCTTGTGTGGCTGTACGACGAGTGGAGGGAAACTGCTAAAAATAAACGGCGACTACTGAAGAAAAAATGGAAGTACACACTATGACACGACGAAACGTGGACTGTCGCCGTAACCCCACCAAAGGTCGTTGAGGAATTTTTAGAAATGACCACATTCAAGGCTGTTTTTGTGGGCAAACAAGAAGCGCTTTGTAGTAATCCTCCCACCAACTCTGACTTCAGATGGCTTCCTCAAGATGACACCGTGACTGCTCTTCACGCTCTTCACCCGTAATGGTTCTTGTACCGATGCTGGGCCAGCCTAAAAGACGCACTTTCTGGCGTTTTGGCATCTGACCAAATTCCACGTAGCAATGCGTACCATTTCGGCGTGTTTTTTCGCCTTGACGCACGGCTGCCTTAATGAAGTCTCTTGCAAACCCTTCCTCCTTCTGCCAGCGCTTGTATCCTTCCTTCTTCTGCTTTCACGACTCGCTGGACCTCCTCGTTCCAGAACCACGCTGCCTTGTCTCCTCTGAATCCACCTCGCGTCTCGCCCAGTACCTCCTTGGCGCATCGTAGGATGATCTCAGCTGCATGCCCCAAGCCTGCTGCACTGGTCCCTCAGGATCTGGGAGACCAACTTCCATTATCCTTCGTTTGAGGTCGCTCTTCTCTGCTGCACGGTGCAACTTCCAGCACCGGATTCTCCTCTCGGTTCTTACCCTTGCCTTCTTGCGGAGCTCCATGGCTATGAAATAGGCTAGATCTGACCATTTCCCTTCATCGGAGGAACGTGCTATTGTAACTTTTGTGTAGAATCCTTCGAATCCATAAATGGTGCCTCAAAGTAGCAATAAGGTGAGGAGACTATGAAGTCCTTTTCCTTTCCACGATTTTTAATTGTGGCCTAGGGCCATATCTATATCAGTTTCATAGGAATTTTAGGCTGCGAATTTCTGCCACAATACCGATGACCGCCCTGTGTCAGGTAGTACAACTCACTTAGTTTTTCCATCCGTATCAATATAGGTTGCCTGATAAAGTCCGCCCAAAGTGTTGCTGATGAGACCAGTGTAGTTCATCTGAATTTTGTAAGAGAATATTATTTATTGTGGATAAATTGAAAAGTCAAGAGTAATAGATCCCAGCATACAAACTCAAAAATGAACCAACCTTGAGACGGATTCTGTCACCTTTTTCTAGCCGATTTTTCATTACGAACTCCAACTTTTCGAGTTGCACATGCTTCTGCACGCTTTCAATTTCACGTTTTTGATCGCCCTAAAATTTCCAGTATCAAAATTTGTCTGATGAATTGAACTGACGCTACCTACCATTATTTTTCTTGAATGGGAGCGAGTATATTCATGCATCTAAATTCTACGGCATGACGATCTCAGCCAATAGAGGACTCGCAAGCGATAACTAATCATCGCCCATACCAGCCCAGTTGCAGAATTGGAGAGACTACGGACTTCTCCAGGACGTGATGTGTTTAATTTTAGACAGGACTATTGGACGGAGCCATCGACGACTTTGTGGAATAATGTTTGAAAGAAAAAATCAAAAGCCATTACATGTCCGTTTTGGATGTTGAATTCACGACGTATCTAACTGGAAAATGCCTTCAACTAAAACCAACTGAACCAATAGAGTAACAAAAACAATAGTTACAAGATCCCACCAAAATTATTGAAGCCAAAACTGCTACGTGAACATTCTAAGGAAATCGTGAGCGGTCAAAGCTGACGGGAACGGTAGCATATTGTAAGAGGCGAGGTAATCTGACCGCATCGGCGCTTAGGCCGATGTCAGACTTTGCGAATCGCGCGATTCGCTAGCGTCTGCGGTCGCGTCGCGGCCAGTGAATCACTCAATTGGCTGGTACCGCAACGCGACCGCGGACGCTAGCGAATCGCGCGATTCGCAAAGTCTGACATCGGCCTTATAGTTTTCCCTGGAACAGTACTCAGGGGTAAACAGATAATCTGGTCACTATTACGACATTCATTTTTGAGACAGAGGCGATCTGGCGCCAGTTTGGTGCCGCAACTCACTTTTTACTGCATTTCTTGCCAACTTTGACCGCTCACAACTTGCCTAGAAAGGTCGCGTAGCAGTTTTGGTCTACATATCTGTGATTCAGTACTCTACCGATTTGCCTGGGTCTCCATCCAAAGTTCCGTGGGAAGTCGGACGCATTCCCTCGTTCGAGGTCAAGCGATAAGTTTCATCCCTCTTCCTTTATTCATTGTATTTTGAAATTGTATGTAATGTTCAAGCTTTGATCATGACGCTCGTTTATCCAGTAATGTCCTAAGGATAGTAGAAAATACTCTTTTGAAGTAACAATCTCAAACCACAAAATACGCAAAGTAACCCTTTCATTTTTTGGTATAATGATCACCCAAAATCTAAAAATCGTCGATCATTATCGTTATTAATGTGAGCATTGATGATAGTGTAACGGAGCCATGTGAGACCTTTAAGCTGTATAGTGATGCTTGATGACTGCAGCGGTTTGCATGTAATGGTCTCCTGGGTCACTTTGAAGAAGAAAAGGGTATATCACACAGTGTGTAATGTTAATCGCGCGCCTTGTATGAGAAATGCGCGCTCTCGAAAGAAACAGCTTCAAGGTATCCGGACTCAAGGGTGTTGCCGAAGCGTGATTTAACTTTCAATTAGTATGTACCTCAACACTGATTTGGACTTCAGTCAAGCGGTGGGCTTCCGTTCCTCTCCTCCCCGCGCCCAGTCCACCTACCGCAACATCATGTGGGATGGGGAGAATGTATTAATGGGTATTTATAAAGGGGGCGGAAGTGGTGTAGTGGCAAGTGGCACGCTTACCACGCGAGCGGTCCGGGATCAAATCCTGGGTCGTGAGTCGCCCGGGCCAACCAAGCCTTCCATCCCTCCGGGGTCGGTTAATTGGTACCAGACTTGTCTGGGAGGATAAAAAACACTGACTTGTACATCGGCTGGCCCCGCAAGTCATTGTATAGGCCACATCGCATTCAAACGCCACTGCGAATGTACAAATGGAAGTAGAATGCGTGCCGCATCCCAAAACGGGATTGATCAACGGCAAATGCTTTATCCTTTTAAAAGGATACCGGATCGTTGGAAGTCCCCCTGCCTCTCAGACGATCGTACCTCGAAACAGTCCCTTGAACCAAGAGTTCTCAACCCGGCTGATCGAGTGCATGCCCCGTCGTCACCTGTGTCAATCTGCTCTATGGCACAGTAGTCAGACAAATCCTTTTCTCAACATGCCGCTAAGGAGATAGAGGGCAGACGTGAATTTCTAGATCGGGAAGAGGGCTTGACGAGTATGGTGCGAAAGACAACATCATGGAGGATTTTTCCGGTACGATGTAACACCACAGAGCGTGTACTATTCCTTTATTAAACATCTTCTTCCCCGATTAGGTGCTTAACATCATATTCTGGGGTATATTGGTCACGACGCAGGGCAAGGATACCATTACAACCTTGACTTCCCTCAAAGTACACATGCAAACTAAAATGGAAGTCAGATTAGGTCTTCGTTCTTCCCCTCCATCCCTCTCATTTCCAGTGGTTATTCCAAGTCAGCCCAACTTTCTTTGCTGCAGCCATAATGTCTTTCCTTGAATTACGTACCTTAAAATTCCTGTCTTGGTTATTTTGTCGAGCAGACATCGATTGAGATGAGACCTTTTGACAAATTCCATGGCCAAGATGTCTTTTTGCAAAAATCAGGTGTAATCTGGTGTATGAGTTATCCATTCCCAAAGCCTAAAATTTCTAAAGTATCGGTGATGGACAAAGCAAAACAGCACTTGTCTGCGTAGTTGCGCCAAAAGGTAAGTGAAGGTTTTATGTGTTTGCGCACGTCCTTGATGACCATGCATGAGTCCTATTTTCAATTAGGTAGTTTTCTGTATGAAACTTGGCGAACTTCGTCTCCGAAGGGATAAATCAAACTCCCTTCATTATAATTTTCGTTCGATTTCCGCTTACTGAAAAAATTAACAGAGCTCACCGAGGAGACCTCGTATTCTCCTTCTACCACACTGATCTCATTTGCATTCAGCACGATACTTTTGGTTGGCTCCACGACCTCCATATGAATTTCCACTTGTCCATCAAAGGTGAGATTTTTCTCTGGTGGAAAATCCACGTAATTGGGCAGATACGTTTTGATACTCAAATTGTATAAAACTGAAATAGAAAAATAAGTATTGACTACTCTATTTCTAGGTGGATGCCCTTTTGAGGTAAAGATAAAATCCTCACAACTTAAATTTAAATTTAAAGCTCAACAGTTCTAGTTTCAATGTATTCGGTCTCTTAATTAATCTGTGGAAATGATCACATAAATTTTGCATTTTTTTTGAGATCCCCTTTGTAGTGAATGCATTTTAGCAACATCGATTAGCAGTGGCAGGAGCTATTCCTCGCACGAGGTGCATAGATCCAGCATATTTTCTCTTTTGCTATGTTCGTAATTGGAATGAGTCCGCGCACACCAGAACGGGAGATCCCCACAGGCTCCAACGTCATCTGGAGCGACGAAAGTAAATTTGGGATGTTAGGAGACCACAGTGCAACACATGTGTGGCGTCCCGCCGGAAGAGGTTTCGATTCAAAGTATCAGCTGCTATCCGTGAAACGAGGCAGAGGCTCGCTTACGTTAGTCTGTAAAAGAGGTGCAACTACAGCATAAAATTTGAGAAGTGGTGAAGGCTCACGTATGGGGTTAGGTTCTAGAAAGTGTTGCGTACTCAAGCGTATGGCACCTGGCCCAAAGTAACTTCGTCTTCTAGCCTCTTACATCCGATCTTACACGACAGGGAATTTCGTTCTTCTGTGCAGGCGAAAAAGTAACTCTAAGTAATCACAGCGTCCGCAAGGGACCTTTTTGGAAACCATTTCCCTGAGTTTGCTTCCAAATCAATCCAAATATGTGTTCTACGATATGTATTGGTGAAGTTTATTGGTGACTCAAAAACTCATGTTGCAACAATCTAGCATACACTTAGTCTAAGTGATACAAACTTCCGGTTTCCGATATACATCTACGCCATGAATTGAGCAGTTTCCAAAGAGAACACAAAAGTAGTAGCGATTGAACAATTGTACATAAAAAACAATTTTTCAGGAAAAAAGCCATATAGCCGAAGATGTGTTATGGGTGTGCGCGTGGACATGTGCATTCACAAATTCATAAAAACTCGAGAAGATGTTCGAAAGCCAAGCCAAGACAAGGAAAAAAAGGAGGCGGAGTCACAATATCTGTTGTAATAATTCAATTTATGCTGGCTTTTTCAGTTTCAAGGTTCACTAGTTCAATTAAAGTGAGATATAAGTGCCCATAGAATAAGTAAAAAAAAAGATAGGTAATAGGATGATCAAGTGAAGACTGCACCACAGCTCTTACATAGGTGAATTTGTGAATCTGGATAGGATCGAATGAAAGGCGAGCGGTTCGCATCGAAGGAAAGATAAAGTGGTATTCAGCAAGATGCTTGAATAATGACATGGAAAGGAAGAATCACAGGGTGCGCCAAAATTATGGCGACAACGGATGCGCATACAATTTGAACCACTATTCAAAGATGCTGTTTACTGCTGCGCTCATTTTGGTTTTGTTGTGTTGACCTGTTCATAATTATCTTATTTGACCACCAATATGTATGATTGTTACGATG